ATTTACTTACCCATGATGCTCTTACTTTATTTTTTTACAATGTTGAATTATCGAAAACCTTTCTCAACGAATTTGGTAGATTGTGAATAAAACAAATAATATATAATTCAATGATTAACTTTTTTATGAACCAGCTCGCATGAGGAATTAATCATGGAGACCAAGATATTTTATTTTCGGCCCAATATTAGAAAATTGGGTTTAAGCCCAAAGAGCAGCATGATGTGTATTTGACCCATTCTTAAGTGATATAAAAAAGGAAAAAGAGAAGCAACATTCTGTTTTATTTAAGATCATTAAGATAATAATGATAATTTTATCTAATTAATCAAATGAAAAATTATATTAGGAATTTTATTTGATGAAATAATATGTGAATTCAGTTATTGAAGAATATTCATGTCGAAGCATAAACAAATAAGGTTTGAATAGTAAAGTTTGATTTTTCTTTTGTTGAGTAACAAATTTGATTGGCACTCAAGATTATATGGACGTTTAAATTCAGCTTTTTGAGACGAATAAATTATTTTTATTTACGTTTTTTTTAGAAAATAAAGCAAACATCAAGTTGCACAAAATACTTGCATTTAAAATTTGTTTTCTAGATAGGGATAATTGCTTGATATATTATTTCTCTCCAATTTGAAAATAGATTCTTCTTTAATATTGCTGTAAGAAAAAAATATGAAGAGTAACATATTAATCTGTTTCCATAGAACTTTAGAAAATAATCAATAGAAATTTTTCTTTAGAAATTTATATTGATCATAAATTTTTATTATAAATGATTTTTTTTTGCATAAGGTGTAAAATTAATAATTAAGTTTTATATATTTTTTCTTTAATTTATAATTTATGAATGCTAGATTTTCTTTTATGCTGACATTTCAAACTCGTTACAAGAATTTTGCCAGCTGTCAAATACTAAAATGTCAACTTATGCCACCATTTAACTCACTTTATATTTCCATTGTTTTTTGTTGATTTGCACTTTCGGAATATAGATAACGAGTCAGATAATTAATTTCAGTTGATAACATTTAAATTTTTTCTATAACAAAATTTTATTACACTTATTATATTATGAAATAATTGAATTTGTATAATTATAATGTCCTTCTAATAAAAAAAATGAACAAAACTCTTTTGTTTCCATTTTTCTCAATCCACTCCAATTTTGAGGAAAAAATCTCTAAAAAAAAATAGAATTTAAATATAAAGAATGGTTTCTTCTGCATTTCATTTAGTTTTGTATGTTTAGAAGAATTAAATTTAGAGAAATTTTTTTTACTTTAAATATTTAAAAAAACAAATACTTTATTTGATACCACACTAAAAAATATCAAAATTTTTAGAACTTATTTTTCATATAAGCGGTTAAAAATTCTGTAGGAAAAAACAATACTAGTAAATAAATGTCAACAATTTGTCTTAAACAACTGCTATTTGTAAGAGTTTTAGAACCGTCACTATTTGTTAGGGTTTCTAGAATTTTTTTTTTTATAAAAGGAAAAACTTGTTTGTCTTCTTTTAAATCATTTTTTCATTTTGTTGTTACCCTTTGTACAAACACAGTCTTAACCACTATATTCCACAATCCACTGAACAAAAGGCTTCAAAATCTAAAGCAATTCCATGTATATATCTTGAGGAGGGACAAGTATATCTTCACCTTTGGGTAAGGTAGAGCATCAAATTCCTTGGCTACTTACCAAAATAATATTAAATCATGCATGTCGTATTTTTATTATATTATTTTATTTCGTTGAGTTGAAATTTAACTAGTATAATAATTGTATTATTTTACATTTAAATTTAATATATATTTATTAATATAATTTATATTTTATACTGTTTCAAAATCAACTAAATATCATACCTTAAAATCAACTATAAAAAATTTATTTCCTCTAAATGATAGATTCAGGAGAGAAATATAAAAATAAAAAGAAAAAAATAAAATAAATGACCCATAGTAATATTCTTTTTTGTGTGTACATAGTAATAGTTGCGACCTATATTCCTTAATCGTGAAATATGTTACTATGATGTCAGAATATATAGGAACAAATAAAATTCTTTTAGTACAGTAATACGTTTATCTAATTTAAAAGACGTTTGTTGCGTAACCATATTGGAGTGTGTGTGTGAAGCATTCAGAGCATTTCGATTCTCATATTCTATCATGTGACCCCTTGCTTAAAAGCACTTTTCTTTTTGGAGAATTAAGATACTTTTTATTCTGAAATTATTTTCAAAATTGATATTTTCTTACAAATATTACTCGTGTACTTATAGAAAAATATAAAGGAATATTGAACAATCATTTTACATATTTACTTGCTATTCTTTTTAGATTACAACGTATTAATTAAATTAATCTCATACTTGTTGTTAAATTAATTAAATTAATGTTGATTAAATTTATGTCTAAATTAATATGTCCATTGTTAACATATTCAAAAACAACTTAATTCTTTTAGAAGTATTAAAAAAATACTCTAATTATCATCAATTTTATGATAACATGAATCAATTATTATAGTATGTAAAATTGAGATACTTGAGTGGATTGCTTAATCAAATATCAGCAAAACTGTAGCTTGTGATTTGGAAAACTGTAGCTTGTGATTTGGAAAGAATGACCACCTGAATGTCATTTGATAAGATGTTATTATTTTGTTTTTGAAAATGTTTTTAATCATGGCATTTAATCAGAAAATCTTTTTACTTCTTGTTCCAATTTCATGTTCATAGAGTGACAAAACTTTATGGGAGTTTATTTTTTTAGGTTTGAACTTGTATTAAGATTGAATATTTGGTGTGGTAGAAACATAAGTCATTAATTAAGATTTAAGGAAAATGAATGATTATTTCAATAAAAAGTTTAAGAAATCGATTATTAGTTTAAAACAATCTTTAATTTCTGATCTTAAATTTATCGAGCGACATCATTAAAGTTAATTATCATGTATATTTTAAAAACTGGAGTTGCTTCATTGTTTTTAAAAATACTACACACGATAAAAAAAATATTTAAACTACCTTAAACTTTATATAAGACTCACTGAGAACACTTCTTAATCACTAATTAATGTAATATATTATTATTCATTCAAATGTTTCTAATTACTTTTATCCGTATAACTAGAATTTTGTTGACGCGGTTTGTGGGATCAAAAAGAGCACTCCCACCAAACCCCGCGTAACTTTTTTCGCACTTTGGAAAAAGAAAAAAATGAAAGGGAAATCTTATAATTATTTTAATAAGATCATGAAAATTTGTTATAACTTAAACAATAAGGAGCTATACTATTATAATTATATATTTAAATTTAATTTCCCCATTCAATTCGAAAACATTTAATATATTTGGTGGTATTTTTAGTCTTAAAATTGGTTAGGTCACTTTTCAACTTTTATAGTTATTTTAATCCTTATATTATATAAAAAAATGTTAATTGTTAATGCATTTTATAAAAGTAAGAATCAAACAGAGGTAATTTATAAAACCAATACTAAATATATATTTTTAAAATATTCAATAATGAGAATTTATTTTAGGTTTAATACATCATTTGGTCCCCTACTTTTAGGGGTTTGGTTCAAAGTAATCATGTCTTTTAAAATAGTTCAGTAAGATCCCATATTTCATTAAAAAATATTCAATCTGATCCTTTCTGCATACGCAGTTAAAAACATAACGGTGCAAATGTCACGTCATCATCACCATCTCCAGACAAACCCTAATTTCTCTCCAACAAACCCTAGCCGCCGCACCATCCAGCGTCGACAATTGTCCTTTCCAACACATCACGTGCCACCACCAAAGTGTCTTCTCCCTTCTATTGCAGCTCCATCACCTTCGCATCTCACCTTCGTTCTTGCACCACCACCCAACGCAATCCCTTGCTATGCCGCGACCACCAATCTTCACCATTTTCACCCTCGCACCAGCAAAATCGTCATCGCGCCAGCAGCACTACCGTCCAATCTCCACCACAGAATCGTCCACCACTAACCACCAGTCAAATTGCCAGCTGCTGCAGATCGCGAATCTCCACTCTTCTCCACCATTAATCGCACCGTTGCTTGCGTCCACCTGCAACCACAATCAGATCTGCAAGCAAACCGTGGAGACCTAGGGTTTCTCGCGTTCTTGTCTCATAGCTTTGGTGGTGGCGTGTGATGCGTTGGAGAGGACGGCTGCCGGTGAGGATGGGCGCTGAATGGTGCGGCGGCTAGGGTTTCTTGGAGAGAAAATTAGAGAGTGTCTGGAGATGGTGAATATGATGTGGCAGGAACTTTTTTTTTAAATTAAAAAATCATTTAAGTCTACCTATTAACGTGTGCCACGTGCTTAAGAGATACCAGAGTGACATTTGCACCGTTATGTTTTTAACGGCGTGAGGAAAAGGATCAAATTGAACATTTTTTTAACAAAACATGAGATTTTATTGAACTTTTTTAAAAGGTAGGATTACTTTGAACCAAACCCCTAAAAGTAAGGACCAATGTATTAAACCTTTATTTTAATATAACTTTTTAACTTAGTGAATTTTACATTATCATAGTTAACTTTTAAGATATAGTTAGACACTAGATAATCATCTAATCACATGTTATAACTATTAAGGTACTAAAGCACTGAATAATCTAATCACGTATTATAACTTTTAAGATAGTTATTACAAATGTCAGCTCACTTATTATTAATACGTGACTGAAATGACAGTGTAAAAACTATTTGTTCTCTTTGAAATCAAGACTTAGACAAAATTTTCTATTTATAATCAAAGGGTGAAACTACAGTAAATTATTTGTTCTCTTAATATCAAGACTCAGACAATTGTATTTGTAAAGTTTTAGTGTAAAGAAGTGATAAAAATGTTAAATAAAACATTCGAATTAGAACAAGAATGGAATAAATATTCAATATTTTTATAACTATTTATATGATTTTATTAGTTTATATAAACTGTATGGAAGAGATGGTTACACTTGAGTCACTAAATGGAGCGTTTATAATATTGTTTTCCGAAACAAACAAAAACCTCAAAAGCAGACGAAGTTTCTTTGTATAATCTTTGGTTCATAGGTTGTTCTGAAAAGTAAACTATACTCGGTTCCTTCTCTTCGTGGTTCTCTTCTTCCTTATCCCTTACCCTCTGTTTTGTTTCCTAGATCACATCCAACAAAACCATGGATCTATCTACACTGTTACTGGCCCTGCTCTTCATTGCAGGTCTCATAAATATCTTCCTTCAAGTATCCACCAACAAGATTACCACGTGCCTTCAAATTTTCCTCCCCAGCAGTGCTTGCAAAACCAAAACCGCCCTCACTCCTTCACCAACGGCCAAGGTGGAGCACGGTTCCTCCAGGAAGAAGGAAGAGCTCGAAAGGGTGTTTTCCACTTTCGACAAAAACGGTGACGGTTTCGTGACGAAGCAGGAGCTGAGGGAATCCCTGAGGAACATCGGAATCTTGATGACAGACAAAGAGGTGGACGATATTGTTGTGAAGTACGATTCGAACGGTGATGGCTTGATAGATTTTGAGGAGTTTTGC